GGCTCAGTGAACTTTTTCCTAAAATCTTTCCCTCAAATTAGTTAAACAAAAAGGTGGCCTCAGAAACGTAATGCCATCCTTTGCAACCATGTTTGACACTACTGACCTCAACCAAGGCTATCCTCAGAAAAATTGAAGTTACTAATGAGGTTCCCCTACTTCTGATTTGAAAGTTTGGGGAAACCACTCCCCATGGGCCTTCTTTAATTTTAATTATTACCATTAGACAGGCAATCTTTTTTTTTTAATTATTTTCAACTCCAAATTCTCTTCCTCTCTCCAGCCCCTACCCTATACTTTGAGAAGGCAAGCAATATGATTCCCATTAAACATGTGAAGCCAAAAAAAAAAATCAAGAAAGATAAAGGAAGTGGAAAAAATGCTTCAGTCTGCATGCAAAGTTCATTGTTTCTTTCTCTGAAAGTAGATAGTATTTTTCATCACTTGAGTCCTTTGGAATTTTCATGGATAATTGTATTGAACAGAAAAGCTAATTCTTTTACATTTTGTTATTATTACTATATTGCCATTACTGTATACAATGTTCTCCTGATTCTGTTCATTTCACTTTGCATTAGTTCATATAAGTCTTCCCAGGTTTTTGTGAAACTATCCCCCTCATCATTTCTTATAACATAATAATATGTCATCACAATCTTATACCACAACTTGTTAAGCCATTCCCCAATTGATGAGCATTCCCTCAGTTTCCAAGTCTTTCCTATAGACAGATGATCTTTGAAATTAAGATACTGGGCCATTTCTATTTACACCTTAGTGAGGATAAATTTAGCATAAGATATCTGATAAAAATAAGATACCTGATAAGATTCCCCCATTAGATTCTAAGACCCTTCAGGGGAAGGACTGCTTCCTTTCTTCATTTATATCTCCAGTGTACCTTAGCATGGTAGTTGGCAAATAAATGCTTGTCAATGGGGATGGGGTGGTGAGAGATCCTTTCCAGGATGGCAGAATGAGTGACAGATGCAGATCAAATTCAGTAGGAAGTCATAAGAGACAGAAGAGGAAGGACAGGAGTAAGGGGAAGAAAAAAGTGCCCGAAACAAACTCCAGTGGACTTTAAAATTTTGCCTAGGGTTCTGCAGCAGCAGAACCAACATCAGGCTTGTTTAATTAGGACGGAGGCCTGGATTTACATTAATCCATGGATACTTTGTCTCCTGATCCTTTAGGGGTACAAGAACATGTGCATGTAAGATGATTGATTATTTTAAGCCTATATAGTTCATTGACTCTAGAAAAGAATAAAAGCTTCACTGGTTTATATAGGGCTCCACTTCATGGCATTATAAGGCCTCACTGAAATCAGATTCTGAAGAGGCTTAGGGGCTATGGTAGAAGCCAATGGTACTTGCCATCAGGAACCAGCAAATTAGCACTCTGGCCTTGTGTTTATACTTCTGTTCTTATGCAGACACTTTGTTTATTAACTGTCAGAGTTAGCCACAGAGGCAAAGAACAAATCTAAAAACAATGCACCACTTTAGGCTCAACAAATTCTCCTTCTGATGGGCTGAGAGAGCCTCCCTAAAAAGAAATCCAGAATCAATTAAATAAACAAAGTTGTCAACCCAAGCAAAAATCATTATTTCCAACAATGATGACATTAGCCAAATGACATAACTTATACATTAGGATTATAGGTGTCATAGGTCCACGGGTCTGACATCTACAATTCAGAAAGATCCAGTCTCTAACCTCCTCACATTTGGCTCAATGTTCTTCCACCATACAGCACGTATACACGTTAAATCCTTCTGGAACAAGGAATCTTTTTTTTTTCCTCCCCTCTCGTCTCAGTGTAATTAGTAACAATTAGTAATTAGTAACAATGGCATATTATTGATGGTCATTTACATGGAAGTGTTCATTAGAAATCATCAACATGTTATTAGAAAAATAATAAATTTATTTAAGAAAGGCTATATTTATTATTTTGTGATTATATTACAATATTGCTTTTGTATAAGTTGAAAGGATTTTTGGTAGATTGATGTTGGAAGACAAAATAATTCTCACACTGACCATTATTTTTTTTTACACAAATTAAGTATAATTCAGACTTCTTCTGAAGCAAGGCCAAAATCTCTCAAAAGTCTCAGAAGAATATAAGTAATGAATTCATTTAAATAAATTGTCTACTAAGAGAATGTAAGATTCAAATAAGAGATTCTGTATTACTATTCAGAATACAGCTCAGAGGAGGATGTTTGGCTAAAATACCAGCCAAATAAGGAAGTTACTAAAGTAGCTTAATCTATCACCATTTTGAGAGGGAGGGAGGGAGAAAAAATATACAGAAGTGATGTAACACAAACCAAAATTTGGTTCAAATCTGTCCAGTACTTTTTGAAAGAATCAGGGGCTTCATAGTATTCTTTTGACATTAAGTAAAGTGGAAGTTCGGCAGTTCTCTGCCCAATTTAGTCAAGGCAGCTGCCTGAACAAAATTATGTTGTTGTTAAGTTGTGTCCCATTCTTTTTAACCTCCATTTGGGGTTTTCTTGGAAAAGATACTGGAATAGTTTGCCATTTCCTTCTCCAGCCCATTTTAAAGATGAGAAAACTGAGGCAATAGGGGTAAAGTGACTTGTCCAAGGTCACACAGGTAGTAAGTGTCTAAGGTCATATTTGAACTCAAGTCCTCCTGACTCCAAGCCTGTCACACTATCCACTGCTTGACCTAGCTGCTCCAGTTAAATTATGCTCCTTTTTTTGGAGCAAGTTTCTAAAGCAGAGTATGAAGAAGCTCACGGTTCAGAAACATGGCCATTCTTCAGGATGTCTTGCTCTAGACCCGGCATGGCCAAAGTCATAGAAAGTTTCAAAGAATTACAACTTATATTTAAACAAGTTTTATTTTTGCATTCTAGTTTTCTTCCATTTTTCATTTCAACAAAATTTGGTTAGAGACATCCATTTGATATCGTGGACAAAATGCTGGCCCTAGTGTCCTGAGTTTAAATGCTAACTAGAGACACTTATTAGCTAAGACAACTTGCTGGTGTTCTGGCCAAGGCACTAATGGCACTTCCCTTGGCCTGGGTTTTTCCACCTAAAAAATGCAGATGATAATAGCCCCTACCTCGCAGGGTTGTTGTAGAGGTCATTGTACATTAGGTAACATATAGAAAGTGCTTTGCAAACCTTAAAGCACCATATAAATATGAGCTATCATTATTGCTTCTTTTCCTTCTTTCCATGAAGGGATTAGATTACCTGGCCTCTGAGATCTCTTCCTACCCTAGATCTATGATCCTAGGAAATGTTTCAATTCAAATTAAAAAACAATCCTACACCTACTTTTAATTGTTTAAAGTATTCTCAAAAACCAACCAAGGAAGCTAAAAACCAAAATTAAATCTTTTCAATCCAAAATGGGTAGAAAGCTCCAGGGACAAAGACCTAGAAAGTGTATCTAATTTCTTCAGAAAGAAATGGTTGCTTTTCACAGCAGGGTGTTTCTTCAGGCATCTTAATCCCAAAGCATATTTGTCTCAGTCAAGCTGTATGTGGGAATTGTGAGCTACTTGGGGCCCCCAGAATCATTATAGGGTATGGGAAATCTCAGTGAGGCAGGACTGGCAGGTCTCTGGAGAAAAGAGATGTTTTCTAACTGATACCCAAGGCATCCCTCAAGGGAACAACACCCCATTTGTGTGTAAGGTACACCTACCTCTCAATAACAGCTGCAGGGGTTTATCAGTATGTTACAAACATCCTCATCTAATTTACAAATCTAATTCACATGCTGAACTTCAGTTTACTTTTAACTTATTTTCATGATGATCCATGTCCTCTTCCTCCCATAATTTCTATTCAGGTTGAAGAAATTGTTCGGTCTTGGTTCACGAAAACTACCCTGTTGACAGTGACCTTTTTGAATGTAAACTCTACCTCTTCCCTTGTTTTAAATTGCTTCTTTACCCAAAATCTGGAAGATGGAAGAGATTTGATTCATAGTATTCTTTCCCTCTATCAGCAAAGTCAAAAATTGTCTCCAGTAAGTGAATTAAGGAGACAGACAGAGACAGACAGAGACAGAGACAAGAAAGAAAGGGGGAAAAGAGGGAGAAAAACTCCTGTATTTCACATATTTTGGTATTTATGTATAAAGAAAGGTTTAGCATGAACTCAGATGCCTCATAATTTTCCATAAATCATTCTGAGATTGTAGATGACTTCTTGGAAATCAGAATAACACTACCAATCTCCTGAATATGTGTCAGAATCAATCAATGGACCACCTAGCATTTATAAAGAGCCTACTCTGCTCTGGGCACTGTGCTTGGTGCTGAGAGGATCAAAGCTAGGGTTCTAATAAGATTCCCTGCTGGTTCATCCCCAAGCCCTCTTGAGCCACTCCAAGCCTCTTGAGCCACTTCCAAGCCTTTTGAGGCAAGGCTGGAATGAATCTCCTAAAGCAATGTCAGAATGAGGAAAGTGAGGCTAAGACAGGGTCCATGACTTGCATTAGGTCGTCCCGAAAGTCCAAAAGGTAGAGAATAAATGAATTAGAAAGAACATATTAAGCGTTTATTCTGGGCTAAGCACTACTGCAAGAGTTTTTAACCTTTTGTCGTGTCATGGACCCTTTCTCAGAGTAAAATTTTTAAATGTACAAAACAAAATACAAAGGATGACGAAGGAAACCAAGTATAGTGATTTTGGGGGGTCAGGAACCCCGGTTAAGAACCACTGCACTAGGGGGTAGCAGATTCATAATTTGAACCCACACCTTCTAATTACAAATCGTCCCTTTTCCACTATGTCCGTTAACAAGGGCTGAAAGCGGGATGCCAGACCTAGCCCCCTGGGCAGTTCTGGAGGAGATAAGACAGAGCTCCAGGCGAGTGTCAGGAACTTAGACCAAAGTTCCTGTTTCCCAATATTTGGCCACTGACCCCAAGCTATCCCTAACCCCGAGGGAGCAAACTTTCCACTCCTTGCGCTCTCTGGAGAGCCCACGAACGCACCTGAGGGCTCCATGACGCTGCTGGGGCTTCTTCTGGAGTGGAGCGCAATCAGCGCGCTGAGATGCACTGCAGCGGTGTTTGGAGAGCGAGCACCTGCGCTGTCTCTCCCGGAGCCGTGGGAACGGCGGAAGTGTACTGCCTCGCCGGCCTGGAGAGCGCTTCCTGATGCGCTCAGAGGCGCTGCGCTCCTCCCCCAGCGCTGCCGCGGGGCCCTGGTCCGGCCTCTGGCTTCTCCGGAAGCCCAGCCCCAGCGCTCCGGCCCCTCTCAGATCCCTTGCGCCTCTTTGTTTGCAGAAGTGAAACTGCCCCCCGACCCTGACCCGGCATCCTACACCTCCTACTCAAAGCTCCTTCCTCCTTCTCTCTTCCTTCCACAGGTTTCTGCTTTCTCTGTTTTACTCTTCTCCTGCCCTTGGGTCACCTTTCTATCTTAATTAATGTCTCCTTTGTCTTCTGCCCCAACAATGTGCAGTTGAAAGAGTGCTGAACTTGAGAGTCGAGGGACTTGAGCTCGATTTCAGTCGCTGCCATCTATTACTTGTGTTACCTTGGGCAAGTCAATCATTCATTCGGGCCTCAGTTTCATTATCTGAAAAAAAAAATGGGGCTAGTTGGAATAGGCCCCTTTCAATTCTACAACCTCTCAATTTGCTGTGTCTACAAAGACCTTCAATGATTAGTCCCTGCCCTCAGAGAATTTACATTTATCAGGGATGATAGAACGCATGCATTTGGGGTGGGGGATTAGGGACTGAGCCTGCGATTTCATTGATCTAAGGTACTCCTAGATGAAGAATTCCACTCTACCAGTGCAGGCAAGCACCTCCTATGCAACTCAGTCTTAGAGAATTGCCTGGAACATTTAGGGGTTAATTGACTTGGCCAGGATTGCTTCCACACATTAGTTTTGAGGCTAGCTCCTCTACCCCCAAAGAAAGTTGCCTTTCTTATTTATATGTGTGTACATAAAATAAAAACAAGGTATTGGAGCTGTAAATTGGAACAGCTATTCTAGAAAGCAATTTGGAAATATGCACAATTACTAAAGTATACATACCCCTTGACTCAGTGATATGACTACTAGGCCTATAACCTCAAAGAGATCAAAGAATGAGGAAAATAATAGAGGTGGACAAAAATATTGAAAGCTATTTTTTTTTGTGGGGACAAAGAATTGGAAACTTAAAAGCATGCCTGTCATTGGTAGAATGGCTGAACAAATTATGGCATATGACTATAATAGAATATTATTGTTCTGTAAGAAATGATGAAAGAGAAACAGGGAAAGACTTGCATCAACTTATGAAGAGCAAGACAAGCTTAATCAAGACAACAAACGATGGTATTAACAACAGTGTAAAGACAAAGAACTTTGAAGGTCTTAAGAAATGGAATCAATTCAATGACTACCCATGATTCCAGAGGACTGATAATGAAAAATTTACCTACCCCCTGGCAGAGAAATGATGGAATAAATAGACAGAGTGAGACACACACTTTTGGGAATGGTCAATGTTGGAATTTGTTTTGCTTGATTATGCCTGTTGGTTGTAAGGGCTTTGCTTTTTCTTTCTTTCTGGTAGAGTGGGAAGGAGAGAATGTAAGTGCTTGTTAATTGAGAAAATGTTTTTTAAAAGAAAAAAATAACTCAAACATTTCTTAAGCACCTACTATGGCAAGACACTATATTAGTTGCGTATACATATGTATGCATGCATGTAGGTACATATATGCATATATACACACATGTAAATCACTGATGTATACATGTATATGTACATACACACAAACATGTGTGTTGTGTATATGTAGATACACATCTATGTGCATATATACATATATGTATGTGTATGTGTATATACGCATGCACCCACACATGTGCGCACACCCACACACAGACTTTAACCTAATATATTGAGTCAATAGCATAGGGACTCCTCTGTGAAGGCCATTTATGTCTGCAACTTAGAGAATAAGAAAGTGAGAATTCATTTTAGAGATGAGATGACAAGCCAGGAGAGGCTAAATTGTGCAGTTAGGAAGTGTCTGAAGCAGGAATCTAACTTGGTCTTCCTCACTCCACATCCCAGTCATTCTCCATTATGCAGCCCTGCCTCCTTACCTGAGTCTTAAGTCTTAAAGACCACATTCATCACAGAGTTGCCAAGAGCATTGTGAGTATAAGTGAAGTCAAAACTTGAGTCTCCCTGACTTGATGAAATGGCTGTCCCTCCTCTAGGCACTCTGCCTTCATCCATTAGATAATACCTGCTAGCTAAGTCAAACACTCATTATTTTAATTCTCATGTGGAGATTATTTTAGCCAACTTGTCTTGTGTCAGAATTAAGCTCCACCAGCATTAGTTATTGTTAAAAATGAATAACCTCCTTGCCTAATGCATATGGTATAATGGAAAGAGCACACTGCCTTTGAAGTTAGAGGATCTAGGTTCAAATCCCAGCTCTACCACCCGTGTAACCTTGGGTAAGTCATCTGCCTTTTCTTAACCTCAGTCACTTCATCTGCAAAATGAGAGGATTGGTCTAGAAGATATTTGAGGTACCTCTAGCATCTCAAATATCTTGTGGTCCTACCTCAAAAGAAGGCTGTTATGAGGAAATGGCTTAAAAAATAAAGCTTGCTCCTGCAGGAGGTTGACCATGGGCTCCTGCCTAGGATGCTGAGATGGGGGACGATTATCTTCCTTCAAGTTCTTGGGGCAGTCCTGCCAAGGTTGGACTATGAGAGGAGGAGGAAGGTGATAAACTGGTTACAGTTTACAGCTGCAAACCATCTGAGATAATGTTCATTGCTGAGTTTAATTTGGATTTCAACATTAGTCCAAAATATGTTTACTCCTGCCAAAGCAGTGCCAAAAGCAACTCAAGAAACGCCAAGGAATCAACTGTTTCAGATACTCGGTACTCTAAAGGAACTGAAAGAAGACATGATTTCAGCCTAAGAAACATGTAAGGAAATAAGGGGAAATTATGCAGAAATGAATATCGTCATAGGTAAAATACTGGTAGAAACAGAAAAAAAAATGAGACATGATGCAATAGAACAAAAAGAAAATGGATAACAAACCCAAGTGGAAGAACAAGCCTGGAATGCAGCAGACCTAGAAAACCAATTGATAGCAAAACAGGTAAAAGTGACCAACCCTCAGGGAACCAAACCTTCATAATAATTAGCCCTCCAGAGGGCAAGGAGAAGAAAAAGAACCTGAAGCAATAACTCAAGAAAATTTCCCAGAATTAATAGCACACTACAATAAGAAAAATTCAAAATCCTAACAAGAAGAAACCTAAAATTCAAGTCTCTGAGGTGCATCAAACTCCAAAAAACTACGAGATGAAAAAAAATCACCTTAACTTCAAAAAAAAAAAAAGAACAGTACCAGAAAGTACCAGTCAGCATTTCATAAGACTTTAGAGATAAACAATAAAAGAATAGGACACTTGGTCAAGAATATATGCACTTAAAACTAAGAAACATAGGCCTGGTTCCTAGAATCAACTTTCCAGCAAACCTTACCCTTCTTTCAGAAGGCCGAACAATAACACTTGAAAACTTACAACCCTTCAAATAATTCTGTGACAAAAGAATTCAATTGAAAAGAACTAAGTTCCGATAGGTGCAGCAATGTTTCCTTTAGGTGATTAAGTAGGTAAAGATATTTAACAAAAGGTTCTTAAAATATATTGATAACTATATTTGTGATTATAAAGCAAAATTTACAAACCTCTAAAAGAGAAATTTAATAGTATTGTATCAGCCTCAATTCAGTCCAGTAAACAATAAATTTCTACTTTGTACAGAAAGGACATGCTAGATGAGATAGGTTTCCCCTTGAGATTACAATCTGGTGAAAATAACATGTCATAATAATTTTGAAATTAAGAAAAGTGGGTAAAAGATTTAAAAGGTTAAGGACAAAAGATGGAGGGGAGGGATGTATTTGGGGAATATGTGATGTAAGAACAAAAAAAATGTAAATTTTTAAACAGAGGCTAAGGAAAGAAAGAATCCTCAAAGTGATACCTTTATCTTGGTATTGAGGTCAATGATAGGTCAGGGTGGAGAGAGGAATAAGCCAAATCTGATAAATGTAACACTAAATATGGATTCAGTGACTAGTTGCCTATAGAAAACACATCTAAAACAAAAATATATGAAGACTAAGACTATGTAAGCTTAACTAAAATTTATCATGAAGTGGCCAGTTAAAAAAACGGAGTAACAATGATTACAGCTGATAAATCTAAAATGGAAAAGTTAAGAAAAAAAAGAACATTATATTATAGCCAAAAGGAATAGTAAATTTTTAAAAAATCTAACAATGTTAAGTTTTTATACCCCAAACAGCAAAGTAAGCTGAAAAACCAAAAATCTGAGTAAAAACCACAGTTTCGATGTATGTATTTCTTCATTATTTAATAATACGGAATGTCCACACTTATGAAGACATGACAAATCAGATAAGTAAATAGGAATTCTTATGTCTGAAGAGAGAAATATGGAAAAAACACATTGTTCTTAGGTGTATATGTACCATTTGCAAAGATTGTTTGTGTACATAGACAAGGAAGTTCTGGTTAAATTTGAATAGGCTCCCTACTTGCTTACTTACTCCATACATACTCCAGACAACAATAAAATACACTGAGACACCAGGTGCATCATATAGCTATCAAGTGTCATAGTTGGGACAGTTGAAGTCAAGTCTAATAATCTTGTAACAACTTTAAAATTGCACCCATTTGAAATATTATGTATAACACTAGTGTTGAGAGACATCTAAGAGTTTTGAGTTCAACCCAAATGAGGAAACTGAGGCCAGAAGAGAATTGTGGCTATTATAGCTAGTACTCATATGGCACTTTCAGGTTTGCAAAGCACTTTTGCATGTTATCCCAATGATCTCCACAATAATACCATGAAGTTGTGCTATTATTTCTATTTTACAGATAATGACATTGAGGCAGACAGAAGTTACGTGACTTGTACAGAGTTACATAGTTAATAAGTATATAACACTGAATTTGAACTCAGGTCTTCCTGACTCCAAATCCAGAAGTCTATCCACTGTACCATCTAGCTTCCATGGTCATTTAGCAACTTTGGGTCTGACTGGATGTTAGAACGTTAGTGTCGTCACTCTCATCCAGTGCATTTTCCATTACATCTCATCTGTGTGTTTATGTGTGTGTGTATGTATGTATGTGTATATGTATATGTATGTATATATA